TATTTCAGTGGTGACGCGTGAATGATCGATTATCGATATTTCCCCATTTGAATCTGTGGTAAAAGATCAATAAATTGGACTATTTCTATCAAACGGAACTAAGCGCCAATTTGAGTTCCTTTTGAGGAATTTAGAATCCCGGATAGCGCGTTCTGTCAAACGGACCCAAGCGCCATGGAAAAGCATTGCGAGTATAGGACGGAATAAGCCGGACGCCCGATTCCGCCGCAAATCCAAGCCACCCTCTACCTTCCTCACCCTATGGCGCTCAGCGGGGCGATTATTGAAACTGATAGACAAAGCGATAGACAAAGATGACATAGGGAGTGTGGAGCGATCCTATTGGGTGACATAGTTGGTTCTCATAGACTAAGGGGGAAAATGATAAACTCACTGTCGGGTCTCTCGTGGGTTGCCGTTAGTTAGTCTACTACCTACCTCCTTTGTCCATTGCAACCACCCGTTTCCACCAATAGGATCCCTCCAAATCCCTTTTGTCGTCTTTGTCTATTGCTTTGTCTATCAGTTTCAATAATCGGCCCGCAGGTCCGTTTGATAGAAATGCGTCCAATTTTCAAGGTGTTTTCTGTGGACACCCTACCCATCGATCATTTTCCATAGTTTTAAATGGCAGCTCAATCGATATATCGCAAAGCACGCCACGCCACTGACATTTTTGCCAAGAAATTGGAACTTTTGAAAAGTCTACGATTCCCTCAATTTTCGCAACGGCCTCTCCCACAGCTGCATGCCAAATAAAATATCGAAGCGAAGTGTGTTCTCTGAATGAGACCCCATGTAGATTTTTATCACTCCTCGGGAGTGGCGGCCGGCGGCGGAAGGCATGGCGATGAAACGCAGCTTGTTAACTGCACCGAGCCATGCGTTTCGCAATCAAGGTAAGAAACGTAAGTCTCGTAAATGGAAGATTTTCGCCGGAGAAGCAGCGGGGAGCGAAACCGAGCTATGATTTAACGCAGTGGCGCGGCGTGCTTTGCGATGTATCGATATTCCCCCGTTTGAAGCTACCATAAAAAATCGATCATGATCGAAAACCCTATTCATCGATCCTATTCCATGGGTTTAAATAGCAGATCAATCGGACCGCGTTAAACAGAAAGGAACCAAGCCACATCAGCTGTTGCCAAATTTAACAGGGGAATTTGATTATTTACGAGAGAGCGTATGTGCGGATTCCTTTGAAAATGTTGAGGAATTTCCTTCGTATTATGGAGAAAATTCATAGAAATTTGCACAAAAATCTGCACAACCGATTTCATGTAAAAAATTAAAGTGCCCGATTAAATTTGGCAATAGCTGATGTGGCTTGGTTCCTTTCTGTTTAACGCGGTCCAATCGATGTATCGCAAAGCCACTGACTTAACGCCGTCTAATGATGCGACAATCCGAGGAGTAGAACAATAACTGTGCTCAAATGTCGAGAGCCTCGGAATCCGGGTATGTGACAAAATGTTAACGGGTTGAGAAATAACTGCGGCGAGGAAAAATGGTCACGACGGATTGTGATGGCCTCTCCGGTCGCAGTCTTTTATTGCCCCGTAAAAGAAGTCCACGGGACTCCGCTTTCGAGGAACGAATCGCACATTTCTCTCCGAGCAGCAGGGATAATCGTCCTGCAGGGCTGCGTATACGGATGCATCATGTTCCGAGTTTGAGTCGTATACGTTTGTTCGCGGCGGTTGAGGATATGTCTGGGCACTACACATTAAGACATGCGCCCTGAGACCCATAAGAATATGTGCATAACCAGTGTTCGAAACTCACGGGCGCCAAAGCTCCAAATGCGCCTAAAAAATTGGCCATGGCCCCTAAAAAATGAAGGCTCTGCGCTATCGTGGCCCCTAAAAATTGCCCCCTAAACATCTAGATTTTCACAGGAAGTCACATAAAGAAAGAAAAACAAACCCAATCGGAAATTTGACCTTGGTACAAGCTTAGTATGACATTTTTTCACATTTGAATAGAGTTGCCAAGCTTATCTTGCTAATGTTCCCACAATGTTGGCAGGACATTTATTTTACCTCTGGGACAAGCTTGAGCCCAAAGATTGTGCCAAGGTTAGGTTTGTAAGACTGCTCCAAGCCTATTCTGACAATATTGCCACAATATTGGTGGGACATTATTTTACTTCCGAGACAAACTTGGATATTCAATATTGTGACAACGTTATGTTAATAATATTGCTCCAAGCTTGTTCAGCGGATATTGTGATCATGATGTTGCCATAGACTTGATGTAAAAGTATTGCCATAGTATTGGCAGGATATTTATTTTACCTCTGAAACAAGCTTGGATTTCCAATCTTACCTCTGAGGCAAGGTAGGCGATAGAACGCCGTATTACCTACCGTCCTCGCGGAAGAAATTTCCTAGCGTCGCAATGCCTAAAGTAGACATACGGAACATTGGAGTGCTGAGGAACTTTCCTAAGTCAGCCACTTTCTTGGCTGCTTGCACTAGCTGAAGTATTCAACTTGGAACCCACTGGTAACGGGCACTGCCCAGGCGAAACGAGAACCAGCCCCATTGACGGGGCGTCCGCGCGCGGACCGTTGCCAAAAAGCTCCATTTGAGCCCTTGGCCTAAGAATATCGGTAAGATGGGTTAGACGCCTATGGATCATGTGCCTATTACGTCAAAAAGCGAAAGGTCGCAGTTTTTGCCCTTTAATTTGCCCTTAAAGGGACCGCAACGGCAGATCCGCGGCGAGCGCGCCCTGGTGGTGGAAATGGCAAACGCGGTCGAATTGTGCTCGCCGCGCACAATATTGTGTTAATCTTATGACAATATTAGAAACAGAAGCCTAAAATGTTTATTTTCTTAATCTTGTGACAATGTGAAAGTGCGAATATTACCACAATGTTGTAAAAATAATGTTAGCATAATATCAATTCAGCAGTTTTAGATATCCAATATTGTGTCAATATTATGACAATATTACGAACAGAAGCCTGTTATGTTTGTTGTTCTAACGTTAATCGAATGTTAACATAATAACAATACTGCAGTATCACAGAGATAAGATCGTCTCGATATTATTTTAGCAATTTTGTTTTCCTAATATTGTGTCAATATTGTGTCAATATTATAAGCAGAAGCCTATGTTCAGTATTTTTTTTAATAATGTGCCAATGTTAAAACTAACATATTACTGCAATATTGAAAACATAACTCTACGAGAGTATTAGTTAACCAATATTGTATGACCAATATTGTGACAACATTGTGACAATCTTGGAATCACCGAGCACCACCTGACCTTGGATTTCTGATGTTGCTAATATTGGTGCAATATTAAAATACTAAGGTTATATATCCAGTATTGATGGTATATTGTACCAAGATTCTCAGGCCAACCTTACTGTTTAAATATACTCACAATCTCGCTGAGGTTGCCACAATATTATTCCGATCTGCCCAAGGTCAAATTTCCGATTGGGAATCTATTTAAATTGAAAAAACTCAGAATTTTCAGCACTACAAGTTTAGTGAAAGCTTGCTTTTTCTATCCTTCACGATTTCGTTCTTAGTGATTTTGTCTTCCCCAAGTTACAGCTACCTACTAGTTCTGTTACGGAAACATCTTGCTTCTAACTTTTCACTAAATGCGCCGTAATAAAATAGGCAAAAAGTCAATTTGGCCCTAAAAGATCTTCAATGGCGCCTAAAAATCGGGCTTGATGCGCCACATGGCTCCTAAAACTCAAAGGTGAGTTTCGTACACTGTGCATAACAGGGCTCACGTCATAACACACATAGCTCCGTTTGATAGAAATACGTCCAATTTATTGCAAATGGTAATCAAGGATTGTCATTCTCCTTCGAGCCCCACTTAGGCAACAATTTTGAGACTAGTTTTGACAAAATAGTGGTCTATATTACTGTAACTTCGAGCAGAAGGATCGGAACTAACTCTCTCCTTTCCGAGAGATGTACGTAGACATATGCATAATACGACTTGGTTGATTTTTTGAACGATACCCTGAAGCAGCTGTTTGAGTGAAGAAAGCACGTCGATCGAACGAGCGGACTGCTGCGTTATTCAAACTTTCGAGGGGATCTCAACGCCTCGCTGTGACACCCAGCCCCCCTCCCCCCAACATTAGGCTTCTAATGCCGAATTGTTTGTTAAATAGGTGGTTTTTTGTTCCTTTGTTTCCGTCCGCCGTTTATTATTCCCTCGTACAATTTCCGAGTGACATCGCGGAGTGGCGAGGTACATGAATAGAGCGGCGTTTCCCTAAAAGGAACCAAGTGGCATTGGCTGTTGCCAAATTTCACGCGCCAGTTACTTTTTTTACAAGAGAACGGTCCTAAACATTTTCTGAATTTAAGGGAGTTCCGCAGGGTTGCCACAATCAGGGAATACCGGGGAATGTCAGAGAAAATGACGAAAATGTTGACGCGACATGTGCAAGAACTCCATTCAATATAATTAATTGGACGTATTTCTATCAAACGGAACTATGTGCATTAAGACATGAGCCCTGAGATCCATAAGAATACATGCATAAGAGGGCTCACGTCATAACGCACATAGTTCCGTTTGACAAAAATACGTCCAATTGTTCCCCCTTCAAATCTTCCGCAGCATCTCATATTTTAGTTCGCTTCTCTGGCTATGACCTTCATGGGCAGATCCCATCTCTCCATTTTTTTTTCTTCTTAGCGAAGAATTCGGGAAAAATTGTAAGGATCTATAGGATTGAAGCAGCCTACATGAATAAGACGGGCACGCATCCCTTCGAGGGCTGCGAACTCTAGCTGTGAACCCGATCGTCCGTTCGCACGGAGCCGGCAGCGATGCCAAATCTCGAGCTGAACGTGCTTTTCGTCGGTTCACGCTAGATTTTTTCGCGGAGTTCGGCAGCCCGGCTCCAGGTACCTACACACGCAATGATATTTATTGCAGATGATGGACATGATTCTTATTAGCCGGTTAACAGTCAATAATTTGTTGGTCCCTGTTCCATGTTGCAGAGTCACATGTCTCGAGGCGTATTTCCTCGCCGAAGGTCTCTATTCGCACGAAGCGGAGTTGGAGTCAGCCCGCCAAGTCACCCTCCACGTCATAACCATGGGTCGCTCCGAGGTCAAGCTCAGCCCCGACTCGGAACACCAGGTAAGATCCCTCAAGTTTACTCATGAGTGTTCTGCCGCCGTGCTGAGGAAAAACGCCGTATGAACATTCGAGAGTTGCCAAATTTCCTCCGATAAAATGTTTACTTTTGAGTAAAGATGTGTATATTTTTCCCTGAAATTTTCAGGAACTTTATAGGTGAAATTGCGAACAAAATTATCTGAAAAACGGGGAGGAAATTATTCAGAAGTTTACCAGGAAATTCGTGTTTCATCAAAGGAAATTTGGCAACGCCTGAAGTTTCATACGGCGTTCTTCCTTAACACGGCAGTGTTGCAGGGTTTCTGCGCTTAACGTCCGTTGAGGCGCTGACCCTGGGTCAATCGCGCGTCCAAAACTTTCCTTGGTCCGGAGTGTGTTTGAGGATTTAAAATTCCTGGGGAAAAGACTTTTTTCTTCTTCTTTTGTGTATTTGAAAACGTTTGGTCTGGGCATGTTTTTTTGGAAAATTCTTGGCCCCTTCCCTCCTTGTTTCCTAGCCATTGGTCACTAAATGAGGAGTAGCTCCTCGGAAAACCCCACACTGGACACCCTTGAGTTATTTCACTCAGAGTAAGGACATTTTACACGGATGTGGTTAGGTACAGTTTTCGGGGCATGATATGCCTTTAGATGACAAGAAGGATCATCCACTATTTTTCTAAGTCCCTTCCTTTCCGATTTGTTCCCAGGTCATGGAAAAAAGAACAACTCAAAAAGGTAGATCTGGGCGGATTCTTCCAGCTTCAGAGAGAGTTTGGGGGGCTTCACCGCAAAGATTTTAAAAATTAGGATGTCCTTAGATGGAAGTTGAGCTTTTCTCACTAAAAAATCGATTAAAGTCGATCGAAGATGCAAGAATTGTCACGCCTTGCAAAATTCTTTACATTATCTGGAAGGGTCAAAGCACATTTCTCAAAGCCTCCATCCTCCCGGCCAGCGTGGCAAAATGTCATGAAAAATGAAATCTTGAAATTTCTTGTGAAATATTTCATGAAATTTAAAAAATGTATGAAAAATACCGGTTCCTTTTTATGTTTCACAAAATGTAAAAATTATGATTTTCTGCTATTTTTGGGTGTTTGAGTGCGGGTTGCATACTCTAGCCCCTGAAAAATATGAAATGTTTCACAGCCTCGTGAAATTTCATGAAATATTTCACTGAGATTTCGAATCTTTCATTTCTTTCTTACGTTTCATGCCACCCTGCCCCTGGCCACCTAGTTTCGTTCATAGATATAACCATGAAGAAAAGAAGACACTTTTTGAAGTAAGAGAGCTGATTATAATGATTTATAACCATCGGGGGATTATGAGGAAAACCTTGCAACAGCCCATCGCAACGGCCGGCGGCCCGACAATTTATTTTTATTGGACAAATATTTTGTGCGACTCTCGGGAGACGCGGCGGAGAAATGGTAGTCATTAGCGGGGAGCTTGTTGGATTTGACTCAAGGCTTCATTTCAGTTTATGCATTTATTCGTGCATCGCATCGCATCGTGCGGCGACGCAATACATTCCCGGATTTTACATCCCGGCCGAGTGCGGCCGCGCTTCCACCGGCTGCGCGCGACGCAAACTCGACCGCGCCACAACAAACCACCGGATCACCAATCACCAGTTACCACTTAAAAACGATTCCGATACTCAGCGTCGCGTCCTCGGTGCCGCACAGTCCAAACTCGTTTGCACCCGACCGCGCGAATCAGCCTCGGCGCGACTCGCGTCGCGAGCTTCCTGTGGGAGCGTGGCTTAGCTTTAGCTCGTGTGTGCGTGCGACCTGGGTTCCCGGTTCCCCGCTCGCGGTGGGGTTTGCAAGCCGCATTGCGGGCTACTTGGCATTATTGCCTCTAACGGATTCTCCTTGAATGTAACTTGTTGAATCTGTTGAAAAGCTTCAAGTTAACTCGCCAAATATCCCTCTCTTCTCCAAGGAGGAAAAGGCCGGTAGACGGCGCTGAAATTTGAGCACTACGGCACACTTCCACTAAATTTACACGCATAACATATTTTATTGTATGTATGGACGTGGAGACTTTCCCAATTTCAACTCATGCGTCGGAAATTTGCGTTTCCAATTGTGTTTTCGAAGTAGTAGAAAAACTGCTTGCTTAAGTCAAATTAGGCGCGGAATCAATTTCAGTGTGCTTTACCCTGAACATTGTTTCAATGTGCTGTTTTTTTCTCGCAAAGTCAACAGTTGGCTGATAATTGAAATTAATAGATAAATCCATAGACATAAAAGACAGAGGAAAAAGGGCATGATCCTATCGGTGGAAGCAAGTGATTATGCAATTGACAAAGTAAATAATATACTAACTAAAGTAAATCGACAAGAGACCCTACAGTTAGTCTATCATTTTTACCCTTCGTCTATCAGTACTAGGGCCGGATTTACCGACTTACCGCCCATGGGCGGCCTGTATTTTGCCGCCCCCTTCTCGTTCGTTTTGAAACATTAATAAAAACCATCAAGTGAACGTGCCGGAGGGGGAGGGGTGCATGAGACGCATTTACCTACTCGTGTTGGATACATTTTTGCGAAAGCCCTGTCAACACTACTAGCAAAATTTCACGGAACTTAGCGCGAAAGTTAAGTTCCGTAAACCTATCTCTATATGGACACGGTCCTCCATTCATAAGAAATGAACCAACAAATTAAGAAAGAACAAGCATAAATGTGCGTGGTTTTATAATTTTAACTTCCGCCGCCGCTCTGCGCTGATCGCACTGTATTTGGCGCAATGCAGGAAGTATTCCCACAGTCTTGTAGGCGCTATGCGTTTCACGCCGACCGCTGCAGCTGACCGCACTGTGTGTGACGCAATGCATGAAGTATTCATGCAATCTTGTAGGCGCTAATATGTGTTACATGCCGACCGCCGCCGCGCCGAGGGCTTCTCCTTTTCATTTCAAATCCTCGTCATCATTCCTCTCTGCGCTGAGCTCCAGGCCGAATTGCGTGTTTAGTCCCTGTTTTAACTCGACCAATTTAATATGCTGTCTCTTGTATCACCGAAAAACAACAAAATTTGAAATTGCTATAATCTCAGGAAAGAGAGATTTTGTCCCCTTTTCTCATTGATAATTTCTTTTCTGAATCACATTTTTTTTATACCTACATTTAAAAAAGTTGCAAAATTATGCCACCCCCTAAATTTGCCGCCATGTGGCCACTCCCTTAATTCAGCCCTGATCAGAACCACCCGTTTCTACCAAAAGACCCCCCATTTCTCTTTTGTCTTTATAGTCTATAGATTTGTCTATCAATTTCAGCCCGCAGAATCAGTTCGATTAATGACACAATACGCAGGGCCAATTTTAAGTATCATACTCCGATTCTCGTGGGGTTTTATTTTCTTGCAATTGCAAATTATTTTAATTCCATATACAGATTGATTTTCAAAGTTACACAGATTTTTACCCGAGGATTGTTAAAACTGGACGTATTTCTGCCAAACGGAACTATGTGCATTAAGACATGAGCCCTGAGACCCATAAGAATGTATGAATAACATGGCTTACGTCATAATGCACATAGTTCTTTCTGCCACAAATGCGTCCAATTGCCTGGTTTGATATAGTTTGTTAGTCGCATGCACCTACCTCAATCATGATGTAAATCATACGGATCCTGTCTGAGAAAAAGAGCCGTCCAAGAGCGATTACAAGTACGACCCACCGACTGATGAACCAATCATAAAGCGGCTTCTCTATAATACTCTCCGTATATAGGTACTTAAATACCCACGTTTTACCCAGCTCGGTGTCGGCCTGTATGTACGTTGCTGACAATAGCATGGGTAGGCCGCGTCATACGTGTTCCAGCACTGTGTCCCGGGACCGTGCAGAAATGTTGTCACTCGCCGGCAATAATTGCAACGTGAGCCGTCTGTTTCATCCGTTTTCTGTTTCCAAGAAACTGCTCAGCTCAGATCCCAACTTTGACGGCCCGCAACCGGGTATTCCGGACCTCACCGCAGTCGGACCGCTCCGTAAAGTTCAACCGCCTCCGATACGTTTTCCCCCTCTTTTCCCGCCTCCTCCGGGCTGATTGTTGAAATTGATAGACAAATCGATAGACAAAGAAGACAACACGTATGTGGAGGAATCCTATTGGCGGAAGCGGGTGGTCGCAACGGACTAAGGACGTAGGTATAGACTAAAGATAACGGCAACCCACATGAGACCCTTTAATCAGTCCATGATTTTCTCCCTCAGTCTATAGGAGCCACCCATTGCAACCAGTAGGATCGCTTTATACTCTTTATGTCTGCTTTGTCTATCGCTTTGTCTACAGGGTCGAACTGACTCGCATCTGAGGGCGTAGTACACTGAGAAAAAACTATGGTTTATAAACCTATTAGAGGTAAATATGGAACACCTATAATAGTCGTAAATAAACTAATGATTCTCGGTCTGTGAACCATACTAAGGTCTCTGTACCTAATTAAGGTACCCCGTACCATAACTAAGGTATATGTGCTATTATTATATGTAGAGGTACTACTATTAGTGGTGTTCCATATTTACCTCTAATAGGTTTATAAGCCATAGTTTTTTCTCAGTGTACCTTGGCTGGTTATAGGGGCGTAATGTGATCTTTCCTGATGGGGCATCCCCTTCGCGGAGAGGGGTTCAGAAAAGTTTGGCAAAGCAGCACAAGTTTACGCTATTTTCAGGCTCAAAGTTTATTAATTGTACAGATTAAAAATTGTAAAATTGAACGTATTGAAGTGACCGAAAGACTTCAGAAATTAAAGAAAACAAAAAAACATTAAAGCCACTGGACGCATCCAAGCACCATTATTTCCACAAGAACCGTGTCAGTGCAGCGGTTTACACGAGCTTCAGACGTGGGACTAAAAATCCATCCTAAAAAAGAATCAGGCAAGAACCTGAAAAAAGAAGAAAGAACGAGTATCAACACAGCCGATGACAAGTAACACGTATTCGGGCCTCTTTTTTAACTTTTCTCCCGAATCTGACCGACACCTCATTG